CAGGGCGGTGGCACCAGCCCACGCGCGGCTGCGGCCACCACCGGCTCGTCCCTCGCGTTCGGGGCAGATCCAACCATCGCTCCTGCTGTGGAGAGGCGGCAGAGGAGGCTCTAACTGGAATTTTGGGGCTCTCCCCAGCAACGGCTCTGCCAACTGCCTGTTCCCAGCTCGCTCGCCCAGGGGGACTCTCCTGTGAGAGGGAGCAGATTTTCATGGATACTGTAAATTTAGCCGTTGACTATGGACTAAATGGATAACTTGTTTGACAGCCTTTGGCCTAGTGCCTCATAGCTCTGCTGGCAAAGAAAACAAATCTGTTAATAAGATATTTTAACTGTGACAACAAGGAGGAGGAGAACTTTCCAAACATTCATTTATGATAATTACAGAATAATGATGGCAAAAATCAGGTAAAACATGGAGAGAAGGTTGAGAGTGCTAACAAACATGATATAACACATCTGTTCTCACAAGGGATGTGTGTCTAAAGATTAACATGTCAAAGAAAATATAAAAGCAGGTGGTAACAGCTTAACTAAAGCTGGTTTGCAGCAATACAAGTATTCCTAAGAGCAACATAAAAGAAGAACAAGTACTTGAAACATTTTCTCAACCCCAAATCCCCATTGCAAAAAAAAAGTCAATACACTTCCTTGAATGTCTTCAGAGTGGCAGGCAGGCTACGCGAACAGCGAATCTAACAATAATTAAGATGTCCCCATCAATCATGAACTGGGTAATCAACCTTGCCAATCACACATACGTCCCACCAAATCACGCAGAGGTTTGCTCCCTTCCGAAGCAGCGACCAGAAGCAGGTGGCACAGCTGCCGTCTCTCAACGCCACCAGACACTTCGGATTAGGCCCTGGAAGCACCCTGCGGGCGTGCAGAACTGAGAGCACCACCAGTGCCTCTAGCACAGACGTGCTTCCGCCCACCGCCTCGCGTCTCTGCCTAATCCCCAAAGTTTGCGGCACCTCTAGAACTGACACGTCCTTACCTTAATCATCTGAGAGAGATCACCAGCGTCGGCCAGTTCCAGGACAATGTTAAGTTCATTGTCTTCAATAAAAGAATCCAAATACTTAATTATATTGGGGTGGTTCAGTTGCTGCAGATAGAGGGAGGGCAAGAAGAAAACTTGTAACGCTGTAGTAACGACAACTCCAGGATACAGTACCTGCACCCCCTCTGTAATCGTGCAAAAGTTCACAATAGGCGCAACTACAAACTGTGCTTGGAGTTACTATAGACAAAAATCCTGTAAGAAATATCATTTATCACAAGCACAGCATAAAAAAAGTATCTTGAGTAAAGAGCAGAATAGTGTGAAACAACATTTTCTATTGTAAATTCACAAAATATTTAAAAGCAACGTCCTGAAAGGATCCTTTTTAAGCAATAACCGATTTTTTTTCCCATTAAATATAAACCAAAAAACCCGACTGTTGATTACAGTACTCCCTGAGATCTCTTTGACCCTTAGAAGAACAGAAGTAAATTAAAACTTTCATGGAGGAAAATAATGCACAAACTGCATTTATTTATTTAAACAGTTTATTTTTCTGATTATTTATGCTTGCACCATCACTAATTACTTTTTCATGTCAGTATAGCTTCTTCTTATAGTCACAACTGATATCTTCACTGAATTTTTCCTTCTATGTTTCTTAAAAAAAATTTGTACCTTCTCAAATTGTTATGCTTTACTCACGGGACTAAATCAAGAAACAGGCTGAATAGATTAAAATTTCTGGTTCAATATTTTATGTCTGAGTTTCTTAAAGCGGAAAACTGTAACTGCTTCGAAGATAATGTGGTATCTAGATCTCTCTAATCACTCTCTTTTGCGCGTTTTGCTTTAGATTATCTTTCTCTTGTGCTCTTAGAAATGCAGTAAATTTAGAAACTCCTAAAGTGAGCATTTCATCGACTAAACAGCTGTGACTGAACCTGCCTATTCCCGGGGTTACAAAGGCAAAAGAAACCCTGTTGTGATCCATCACACTAATCACCCCGCTCCGCGGGCGCAGCCGGGGCGAGGCTCTCCTTGGCGACGCCTCGACACCAGCACACATTAGCGCTAATGGGAGCCATGGGCAGGCATCGGGAGAAGAACATTCCCACAAGCCCGGGCCTTAAATAAATAAATACCAGAGCCCACCTTGGGCTGTCTTCTGTGCCGGAAAACACGGGAGACTGCCCACGACCTCCCAGAGGTGCGAACGAAGCAGCGAACCTTTGAACTCTGTTTTACCCAGAGCAGCCAGGCAGACCACTCCGGATAAGCCAAACGACCGTTCTCCACTCTTCCCTTTGTCAAACTTATTTTGAATAAACATATTGACTGAGGCTCCTTGATAACTATCATATATTCGTGGGGCATGAAAAGGGCTACCTGAATTTTCTTTTGTCAGAAGGAAAGTATATTCGTTCTCACAAGTCCTTAAATGCACAAAACGTTACAAACACTTTATCTTGGGTTAATGACATTTCCTAGTTCTTCAACGCATCCTAAAAGTACGACGGCAGCTAATGCCTGATGTGTATGCGCAGCAGCACTGCCAGCAAGAGGCATGCGGCAGGGCAAGCCGCCTCTAAATGAGCGAGTGTGGGTGCTGGCAGCCCAAATGCTGATTACAGCCGTATTACCGAGCTGCTTTACCTAAGCCTTTGAGCCAGAATTACACTGAAAGTAATATGCAATTTTGTCTGGCCTCTGTTAAATTTTGAATAATTGCAATTCATTCACAAATCACCAAACCCCCCCTTTGTTTCCATGGTCATACAGAAGTCTTTGATCAAAAAAGACAAAGTATTATTTTGACGGGGATGGACTACTGTAAGTCTATGCAATTCCTTCACAAATTCCTCAATGGTCTACATTAAAAATGAAGACAACAGAGAAAGAAAAGCTCTTACAGCAAGTTGCTGCAGTAATAGTGTATACATACTTCATACTAAACACTGGAACTTAAAAGTAGCAAGAAAGTTTTAAAAATATGAATATCCCCTGTTACATGGCCAAACACTAGACAATTACAGATGTGTACTTCACATCAACAGTGATGAAAAAAAGTTGAGCAAGATTTAAACAGACGCTGAAATACTGTGCTGAATCGGGTCTTTACACATTTTACACTTTCCAGACACAAGAACAACCATCTTAACTGATAAACTTGGGAAGTGAAACGTATTTTATCTTTTAATATAATGACATTGAAAATGCTGAAATTATTCCGAACAAGTCACTCATTTGAGAAAAATACACTTCTCTTGCTCTCCTGAAGCTCTGCACACATGACTCTAAAGGAAAGCAAAACGTGAAAAGCTCCCACCAGAACAAGAAACCCCTTGGAATTCCCTAACAAGCCGGGCCGGAGACCATGTGTACTCTGCACCAAAACCTCAAGTCTCACTTTTAAAAGTTTTTCCTGCTTCCAGGCACGGACTGTTCTGCCCCACGCTGCATAAATGGTAACATCTACTGCTCTCTCATCCCTGAGAAGGGCCCTGGGTCCTGCTCTGATGAAGCAGCTCTGAAGTTTTAAATACGCCTTTGCATGACTGTCCCAGCAACCCACGTACAGAGCTTCGGTCATTTCCACGAAGCCGTGAGAACAGGCAGCACGGGAGCGAGCAATCAGCGAAAGATGAGTTGCAGATACATTGATCTGATCAGTTACTCATCTTAGGGCACAGAGTGACGCGCAGTGGAGCTGCTGAGGCTGAGACACCAACCTTGCCCTGCCGCAGGGAACAGCCAGCCCTGCGCCGGGTTAGCGGCACGCCGACCAGAACAGCGTGGGCAGCTCCAAAGTTGGCGACTTCAACTCCGACTACTTTTTCCTTGTTATCTGCTGATCTTCTCAGAAGCTGAGCTACACATATCTTGGATAATTTCAATTGATTTTCTTGGCTCTGACTTGAAAAACAGTAGTCATTTGAAGGAACTGTACTATAGGCAATATTAAGAAACGTGTCCCCTTTGCACCTGTAACACAACAGGACTCAAACTGACTTAAGTTACTCAGACTTCAGATTCCTTGGACGGTGCTACACAACTGTCCAAGCTGGAAGATTTGCTGACGTTCAACAATAAATAATAATTAAACTACCAGCACAACATTTTGCATAATAAACAGCACATGATTATGTTTCTGTAGAGCGTCAGCAACTATTCCTGCTCCTCCCTTCACCCCCAGCTACATGAATCTACTAGAAAGACTCCTGGTCTTCTACAAGTACTGTGCAAAACGATCCAATTTCATCAACCCTGTTTAGCTGAGCGCATCGCATTTGCTCTCACAACTCCGCCGCCATGGTAACCCCAGTTTGTACCCGGCTGGTAGCGAGCTTCACTCAAGGAGGTAAGTGGTCGTCCCCCACAGGTGGGAGGGAGCTGACCTTCTGCAGTCACCTGTCACCATGCATGTTCTATTTGCAGTTTCCTCTGATTCTAATAAATCTGCATGTTCTGCTCTGAATAAACCCTGTGTGGGTTTGACATCTTCCACAACCAGAGTTCAGGACAAAACTGTTTAGATTACCTAGAACCCAAAAATATTCTTGTTTTGAATGTTAAAGCATATTCTCTTTTTGAATGTTAATGCTGGCATTATTTTTCTCCATGACTGTTAAGCAACTGGATCATGTTCACACAAACTGCTGTCTTCATGTTTATCCTGTATGTCATCACTACCGTCTAGTGGACTCAAGCTTTGTCTACAACTGTATGAATATAAATCGACAATTTAAATCGAAATTCCTGAAATCACATTTACAAAATGAATTATTTAATACTTTTAGAATTAAATTTGACTAGCTATTTTAGCCTTCTTAGCAACAATCTGTTGCATTTACTCAAAACAGATATTTAAAGCACAATGCATAAAGATTTTCTACCAATATTTTGAAATAAATTACAGAGACGGAAAAAAATCACGAGCTGGTTTTAATCACTTAAAACACACCCTCTGGTTTCAGAGCCTTTATCTGAACCACCATTTTTCATGTGTGATATGTATACACATACACGACAGGCATATGCAAAACTATTTTCCTGTTTAGCTAGTTCATTAATTAGTTTAAAGTGACAAAACTAATCAAAACACATAAAGGGCAGAATTTACATGCCTCTCTGAAAGAGTAGTACTTGTGTGGTTTTTATGACTGAAAGATTTTTAATAGATCCATTAGACTATAGGCAAAAAAAATAAAACTGAGCTTTAAGACAAAACTTCTGCATCATGCAGGCATTCTAGGTTGCCAAAGAAAGCACAGTCTGCCAAGATCATTCCGTTGCTATATAAGCTTCATTTGCCACAAAAGGCAAACAACTGTTGCCAGCCTGAAACCAATTTTTTTTTCTCTCAAAACAAAAACCAGAAGAAGTCGTTATAAAAATTCTTACCTTCAAGAGGTCAATTTCTTTAATGCAATCTTGCCTAGCCTTGGCATCCATCATTTCAAAAATCTTCAGAGACAAAAAAACAGAAGATGAAAATGAAACAACAACAAAATTGTATTTTAACAAGAAATTAGTCTTTCCTCCCCCAATTTGAATACCCTCTACTGTAATTAGTATACACACAATCCCCAGATCAAAGCAAGATCAATGTTTTCTTTATTTTGAAACCACTAAAGGGCTTGCAATAGGGTAAAATTAATTTTAGAACCTGTAGGCAATATTCTAAGCAGCACAAAAAAAACCCATCTCATTTGTGAATTTGCTGTCGTGATTTTCAAAACACAGTTTAGTTACTACTAAATTCATGATAAATAAAAGAAAATGTTTACTTCTTTCTTTTAAATGGAGATATAGCTTCCACTGATTTCTCTGTATTAACAATAATATTGAGCACTAACGTTCATTCTGTAATAATCAGAGAGCAAGTCAGTAGAAACAAGAATAATAATAAGAAAGTGTTGGCTTTTTTAATGTAAAAATATCAAATCAGATCATCCAGTGCTCT